TTAGGGCAAGAGAGAAAAGGCTCTCAGTTTCCATTTCCAGAGCGATTTTGCCTTCTATGTATCTCTCCAGGCGCCTGAGAGGGGGCTCGGGCTTAAACTCTGCTCTGGGTGACCTTACACAGCAGCTAATCTCCGTGGAGCCTCTCTGAAAGGGGGAGAAGCCCCACGGGGATGTTGTGTCCGCTTACTAATGACTGTAAAAGGCTTGGGAAGCCCCCAAGTACTGGAGGAATGCTGCTCCCAGCAAAGGAAGAGGCAAACAGCGGGTTTCCAGGACATGGCAGCTTAAGCCTTGCTTCTCACTGAGTGGAGGAGTTTGCAGCTTCTCGCAGCCCTGAACCAGACCTGGCTGGACCATTTTTCAGACTCTTTTAAGGACCCAGGAACTTCTAGGTAACAAAAAGCTCAACCCTGGAAGGGAGAGAAGAAGAATGCAGAACAGGGGTTTGGGGGAGGATGGAGAATATAAGAAAGCCAGTAAAGGGAGGAGATGGCTATAAAATCCTCTTACTGTGTCAGAGCAGCTGCCAAAACCCAAGGCACTGGAAGGGGAGCTGCTGTAATTAATGAATATGTTGGTAGATGTATTAATCCAATAAACATTTATGGAGTTTAATATATTATACATCTTTACATATTATTCCTGATATATGACATTTGTTATGTGTAATCTATCTATTTATTGTTTTCTCATGTCAAGTACTAAGGCACAGTTAAGTCCCTCAGAAGAACCCTTCAGTATTTCCCATGATCTAAGTGAGGGCACATTGACCGGCATACAGCGCTAGCCATTCGCAGTGTCCGACTGCATCGTGGACATACACGCCCAGAGTGAGCACCCAGAGTGACTGCAAAGCGGTGACTCCACAAACTGACACTCTTCCCATACTTGGTGGTCACCCCGCAAGCCCAGGCTTTCTTTCTTACTTACTTGTTTTCCAAAGTGAAAATGTTTTTTGTTACCAGTTTTCAAAACTATAAATTATGAATGTCGCCAAAAAACATCCTACAACCGAACCAAACACAAATTACAGAACATCTTAAAAAGATTAAAGAAATTGAAGGCTTAACTACATTGTAGGATTTATGCCCTGTCCGTCTGTTTCCAGCTTCCCTGGAAACACCTCTTTTTCTTGCAGATCTTGTTTACTCCCCAGGTTGAGGACTGACAATGGTCCAACATAATACTGAGGGCCTGAATTATACATTTATCTGAAAAAAGGTGCCTGATTCAGCCGACCATCTAACCACACCGCCTTCCTCCAGGACACACACCAAAGGCAACTAGGAAAAGGTTATATTAGGATATAGTTGCTGGAGGTGGCGGTTACAGGGTTAGTTTTCAAACTGGCAAGTATGCATGGGGCTCATTCTGCGTCCCCTGATGGGATCCATTGTTCTTTTTAAGACTTTCCATCTTGGGCTCACCTCTATCCTGAATCTCAAGATACCATCTTACAAGTTTCTCTCCAATGTCCATCTTCTCCACTGGATCATGAGTTCTCTGAGGGCCTGAACATGTTCCCTTTCCTGCCTGCAGCGTAGTGCTGAGCAAATAATAGATACTCAATAAACATTTGTTGAATGAACAGGTGATCCATAATTTAGCCACAGTATGGCCAAAAATAGAATAAAACTTCAGGCCATCTTAGGAACAGAAATGTTTCACTTTGCACACACCCACTACATTTTAACAAGTTTATTACAGTGTTACCAAAAAAAAGTTTGGTGACAGAGGGAAATTTTGTAAAGGAGAGGAAGAGGACAGGGCCAGTGGGCCATGGGTACAACTCTTCTGATAGCAGCCAGCAGTCCAGGAATGTAGTTGGAGACTTCTGGTCAACCTGGGTCTCTGTAATTCTTCTCCATGGCATAAAGCACAGACTAAGGGATCAGATGGTAGAGGAGCCATGGTTTCTGTTACCCTTCCTTTCCCAGGCTCCTTGGCTTCTTCTGTTGTGCTATTGTCCCATCCAGTACCATCCGCTTGGAAAAAACGTCAGATGGGAAAGGTGAACATAAAGGAGGCGGGTAGCAATGAGGTCGGGACACCAGTTGTCATCCAACCACCCAAGCAGTGGAAGCATGGGGGTGGGGAGGCCCCAGGGCCCAGAGAGGATGCCTCTACCCCACTGCACACCCTTGAGGTTTGGTGTCACACTATATCAACTAACTAAAGAAATAATGCTTGAAAAAATATTTTAGAAATAGAGTGCTATATAAAGTATCATTGTAATTGTTATTAAATCTTGCCAGAGTGAAATATTTCCTTTAGGATGAAGTTGTTTGGCACATGGGAAAAATAATCCTTGCTGTCAGCCTTACAAATAGCTGGCAAACGTTTACTAGTCTACCATGTGCGGGAGAAAGGGGGAGGCAATGGTGGATAGGGGTCTCTCTCTACATGTACATATTCCACATGCCCTCCCTCAAGAGGCACATGGAAAAACGCAATGAATGAAATCATTCTTGCACTCACCTGGTTTAAATCATCACTTGCTTGGTCAAGGGGGTGGGTGCCTGTTTTAGGGTCTTTGAGGAACCAAGTAGAAATCAAGGTTTTCATTTCAGAGGGTCTGCTAAATGATGACTTCTGCAAGCCTCAGTTTCCTTTTATTTATTTATTTATTTATTTTTTGCCTTTTGGTAAAACAAAAGAACGGAGGAAAATGGCCCTAGAAGTACCTTTCCATCTCTGGTAACTGATGAGTTAGTGTGATGCTGGTCGTACTAATGCGGATCTCTGGGATGCGGAGGGAAGAATGAGTCTAAGAGAAATGTTCAGTGATCTTGGGAAGGAAAGTACCAAAGAGATAAGGGAGCAGCTCGGGACGGTGTCTGCCTGGAGTCCCAGCCCTGATCCTTCTGCTTGCTTACTGCCTGGACTTAACGCAACTCATCTATGCCTTTGGTTTCTCCATCAGGATAATGTGCAGCTGGTAGGTCCCACCTCAGAAGGTTGCTGTGAGGCTCGAAAGAGGTGTATGAAAAACTATTTCATACGATGTCTTCAGATATAAGTCATTGCTAACCCTGGCTTTGCACTAGCTTCAGAGGAATGTGGGGCTGCCCAGAGATTTTTTTCCCCTCAAGATCTTCTCCAGTTCTAAGAGTCTATTCTTTGTGACTATATTTCCAAGTAGTTTGGGAAACACTGACTAGCTCTGCATCTTAGAATCATCACATATACGCATATTTTCAATTAGAAGGGGCTTAGATGTCACCTAGCCCAACACGCTGAGTCACACAGACATTCCCTCTGTGGCATCTTTGACAATGGATTCGTTATCACGGTAGGGACCGCTTGCCTAACAAGGGAGCCAACTTTGACCTTGAGCAGTGTTACACTTTAGCATGTTCTGCTTGCATTGAGCCAGATCTGCTCCTTGGTAAATCCTGCCCACTGGTCCTTCTTCCCAACTTCTGGAATCCTAACCCATCTAAACTTACTTACATGAGTTCTATCTCCAAGTCCTCTCTTGTCTAGCTTCATAACCTTCCCTCTGCTCCACAGATGAAGAGAAACAACAAAGTGAAGTGACTCGTCCCCGGTCCTATAGTAGGACACATCAGAGGAGGATGAGAACTCATGACATGGGGTTTCATGACTGCCGCAGTACCTCTGCCGACCCACGCAGAAAGAGTCTTTCAGCTGATGTAGGGAAGCCCCTGCTTCATTTTTCCAACAAACCACAATCCATTGCTTTGTTTTGGATTTCTTGGTTTAGCTAAATGTTTTCATTACATTCATCGTAAAAGGTTTTTCTGGTTGACCAAGACAAACTCATTAACATACATGTACGCGTGTGCGCGCGCACACACACACACACATACAGCCAACATATAACTAAAGTGATGTGTCAGGAAACTGGGGAAAGCTGTTCTACATTAATGTGTTTACACTGAACTTGAAACAATACTAGGAAACTAGGTAATACACAGACATAGAAGCAGTGTCTCTGAGTTTTGAAGTGCGGCTCTCAGCTTGAGTGGCTCCAGTGATGTACAGTAAAGGAGCAAGGGGAGAAGGGTCATAGGGCACAAGAGTTAGGGGCACTTGGGCCTTGTTTGGGTTGGAATATGGAATGTCACCCTGGGCCACTCACTTTTTAATTATTAGATATTTACTTACGAGTGATGTCTCTGCAGCAGGAAGGTGCACGGTGGTTGTGTTTTGTGTGGAACAGCAGGAAAAAGACTGGGAAGAAACACAGGGGCACTGTCTCGCTTTCTAAGCAGCCGTGGAGGGATGGCCGGGGTCTCTGAGAAGCTCAGCGGTGAAGCGAGGGAAGCAGCGGTTGTGACTTCTTGATGTGAACAGGCCACTCTTCCCTTAGCAGGTCTGTGGTCCGCTGCGGGGAGCCGTAGACATCACTGAGGACTCACTGCCTCCTGGCAGTACTGACGGTGTTTTTCAAATAAGGAAACCGACACCCAGGCAGTTGTCGTGCCTCATGTTACACCGCTCAGCGAGCCAGGCAGAGCCAAGCCCAGAGTCTCAGTCCAGCTCTGTCCCCACTGCATCCTGGAGCAGAGTAGATGACTTCGTTCTTACTGTCCAGAGGATGCACGCCCTGAACATGGTGGTCCCTTCCATCCTTGTAACAGCACACAGAATTCATGCGTTTCATTCAGCCACAAAGAAAATCTTATCGTTAGTTCCTTCAGTTGTCGAAGCTCAAAGTCACAATTGCTTTGGATGGATTTCTCATTTTTAGATTTAGTATCTTACCAGGTTCCTATATTTATCTTCTGTGTTTGCTGGAAATGAAGACAAAATTTTAACAGTTGTACAGATAGAGCAAAAAGAAAAAAGAAAGAAAGAAAGAAAGAAAAGAAAGAAGGAAGGAAGGAAGAAGGAAGGAAGGAAAGAAAGAAAAAGAAAGAAAGAAAGAAAGAAAGAAAGAAAGAAAGAAAGAAGAGAAAGAAAGAAGAGAAAGAAGAGAAAGAAAGAAGAGAAAGAAGGAAGGAAGGAAGGAAGGAAAAAGAACAAACTAGGCTTTTTTTTTTTTCAAAGTAAGGGAGGAAACATAACATTCACACAAAGGAACACTCGTACTAAGAGTAGGTGGAGAAAGGCATCTGAAAAATAATACCTCAAGATGCATTGAAACATTTTAGGGAATTAGGGAATTCTGATCTCCTGAAAAAAAAAAGGAAATTAATATTAAAGACAAGCTGTGAGTTTCCATCTGGCCTTGCCGCTTTCGACTAACGCTTCCATGACGGAATTCATCTGTCCATCAACTGTCAAAAATTCTCCTGTCAGTAAATCCCACGACACCCCAGCGAGCCCACCCCGCTCAAAATATTCCATGCCACAAACTATTCCGAATTCTGAATTCTTTTTTTTCAGATCTCTGTTCTAGAAGACATAAAAGTTGTGGCTTCCTGCCCCCTACCTTTTTCCCTCTTCCTTTCCCCCAAATCTCTCTCACCCTCAACCTCTCGTGGGGGGGGGTGGAGGAACGTGGGTGGAAAATTGGGGGAGCCCTCAATCATTTGGAGATTGTGTTCCCACTCAGATCCTTCTGAATTTTTCCACCAGAGTCTGACAACAGACAGCCCACATCTGTTTTAAAACACTGAGTGGTTGTGAAGTGTGAACTCCCCACTGTTTAATGTAACTACATGACTATTTAATGTACACAGTGGTAGAGCCGCTCAGAATGCCAAACTGTTGTGACATGCCTGACGGACATATATAAACATAATATACTGGGGTTTATTGTGACAAAGAGCATCGATGCCGCAAACAGGGGATCTGTTTGTTCACCAGCAACGTCAAGTGAGAAAGGAAAAGCGTTCGCGAGACCCTTTCCCCAGCGCGTCACTCATGTCAACGGTGAAATTGATACGGGGCTAATGAATCGATAAATCCAGAATGGGTGTAGCATGCCCGATTTTAATAATTTCTAATCCAGAATTTCAAAACCACTTACCTTTTAAATGAATCTGAACCCAGCATGCAGAAGGAACGGGGAGAGAGGCCAGAGAGGAGCGGGAGAGGGGACCGCTGGAGATTTCGGCTTCTTCCTTGAGACTTTGTTCACTTTTATGGGTGTTAGGGGAGACTGGGTGACATTTTGGTGCTACTTTTGGTGGATTTGGGGGCCGTAATTTTCTGCAGATTGTCACAGATAGAAAAACATCCAGCTGCTCCTAGTGTTTAATAAACTAAATAAGAGGGAAGACATTATGGCTCTGCAAATGTATTTCATTTTTAATATGCTTCTCCCAAAGGTGAATTCTTGTACCTTCTGACATCTCATTAATCAATTGATCAGAATCCGTTATTTTACATCTCATTCCTGCAGTTCTAATTAACCTTTGCTAGTTAAATACTCACCAATATCAACTCCAGTTGTAACCTCCTTTCCTCGAATCCAAGCATTTCAATAAAAGCTTTCCTTTTTCTCGGTCTTTAATTAGGAATTAAGTGGAACAGATCTAGAAGCTGTGTGGCATCTTTCGGGGATTTTGGAAACCTAGAATATAATCTTTAGGTAGGAAAAACATTCGAAGATTACACTATGAGTAGGGTTTGAAAGTGTGGACTCGGCTGTTCTTGAATATACTTTTAGGAAAAGTACCCTTTTTTTTAAAATTCCAAGTTGCTGTTTCTCAGAACATAACTATTTCCATGGAAAACAAAACAGAACAAAACAAACATCCCCAAAACAAACAACCAAAAAAAAAAAAAATCCCTTTGTGAATGATACCAAGAAAGAGAAAGGGAGATTGGTTTTGAAAATAAATGTTAAACTGCTATTGGCATTGGTATTTAAGTCAATGCTATTTTAACACAGACCAAGATTCAACTTCATCTATTATTTCCAGATTGAAAACACCAAGGCCAAGGTCTTGCTATTAGAAAAACTTACTCGGGCCTCTGATGAGCGTGTTTCGGGGTTCCCATGATTTGTGCATTGCTGTGTCTTGTGGTTCGCATAATTTTTGCTGATAACTTAGCAGTCGCCACGGGAGTGAATCTGAGAAGGCCTTTAAAACAAAACTGTGAATGCTTTCCTGTTTGCCTTAGACCCTCAGCCTAAGTCCAGGCTGCAGAAGGACGGTCCCAGGCACTGGGGACTTAGCTTACAACGCAGATTTTAAAAGGACCCTGTAGGGAGGGCATCTGGGGAGAGGAGCCGGGGCGGAGAAGCCCAACAACACAGCAGCGAGGGGAAAAACCATTTTTGCGGGGCGGGCAAATGGGGAGTTTGGGGATAAGGTCTTTTCGAAGCCGACTGTCCCTTAAAAATACGGTGAACTAGTTGTTTTTGGCTTGGACACGCTCACCTACCACTTTCCTCCCCTCTCATCTGCTGCCTTTCATCACGGTGAACGTTAGTAACACCTCACATTAGCTCCTAATGTGCATAAGTTTCTGGTTACACGCTGCAGATGCTGCCTCGCGTTACCACCCTTGCACAGCCAGCGGACTCTAACGGGCTTTTATTTTAATTTCCTTTCTCCTGCCGGTTGCAACTTTGGAGCCGGACGCAACCCTCGCCACGCAAAGAGGGTTAGTGCCTCTTTAAGGAAGATTTAAATTGCGTTTCCTACTGTCAGTTAAATCTCATCAATCATGTTTTTAATTAAAAAGAAGGACATCTACATCCCACTTTCGACTCAAAGTGCATAATGAAATCCTAGACGGGGGCAAGCGCTGGAGAGTTTCCGCGTTGCTCGCATTTGGTGGAGATGCATGCGGGGGAGGTCAGAGACGCTGGTGCATAGGCAAGTGACAAACAAACAACGCTCCTGGTAGGGCCGGGTGACACGTGTCAACCCTTGTCATCGAGAAACAAGAAAGGCAACGTGCCCAGACAAAGGGTAGGGTGGAATCTCTACACACTGGCAGAGCCTGACCCACGCGTGAGGCTTTGTGTAGCAGATGCCTCGCTCATTGTTCTGTGCCTCCCTCCCCAGTACCCCTGACAACAGCCACTGCCGCTGGCATTCCACCCTGACATCTGTTCAGCTTTATTGATGCGGCCCTGGAGGAATTCCCAGTGTAAACAGGGAATTCTCCAAGGGAGCCCCATGTTGTAAAGGGATGAGCTGCATAATGCAAAGATTTAACCACTATTTAAAGGTGTGACACTTGATTGAAAGTGACTTGATTTTTACCCCCTTTCCAATCCTACCTCCCTCTCCACCCTTAACTGTATTTGGCACACACTGGCTGCAGCAATGCACCCCTCCCCCTCCCCCTCGCTTTGTTTTCCGGGTGCATAACTGTTAGAAAGGATGAAGGATGGGCGGGGGGAGGCTGGGTACCATCGTCCAAAAAAGCCACTTAAAAAAATTCTGGGTTACAGTCAATTGAATCTAGTTGTCGCGTTGGGACCCTGCCCGCTGCCCACCCACACTCCTGGCGAGAAGCAGCTTGAGAGTCGGTTGGTCCTGGGGCTGAAACTAATGGGGTGGGCTTTGTGCTCCCTGCTAGAAGCAACTGTGGCAGTTTACAGTCCCCAGGCGGAGCCTAGTCAGCCCAGTCCTGGCAGCGCTGGAACGGAGGGGATTTGCCTTTGGAATTTTATGTTTTTGGCAATGGTGCCGTAGGATGTTAATACAGAGGTTTTTAAAAAAGCAGACCTGTTAAGAAATGCGATGCATCCATCTTCGCCCCAGCAAATGTCCCCGTGCTCTCAGGCCAGCTCTGCGATGCTGCAGCCTCGCTCCACTTCTTGGCTGATATTCAGGTACCGGGGGTGTGTTGAGAGCTCAAGTACTCACATTTTGTGGCTGAGGTTAAATATGCAGAGATCCGTCAACGGGGCCTGGGCAGCATGACCGCATCACGTGAGGAGTGAACTTTACTCGCGATAATACACGGATGGAGTGTATTTTGTGAGGCCGTGAGTTGGATCTGGCTTGGTCTGGGCCCAACCCCCCGCTCCCCTCCAGTTGACTTGTGGATAGACAAACCCTGAAAATTGCAACGACTCCCTCCTACACAGATTCAAAATAAATGAGGGTCTGTGTTAGCATAGTGAGGGCAGAAGAAAACGGCAAAACTACCAGAGTATGAAGTCCAAAGTCATAAAACGAAACCCATTTCTGTAAGGACCTAAAGTGGTTGCTGACCTGTGTTTTCAGAGAACAGATATCAAAAAAGTGGGTTCCTGTGTGTGTGCGTGCGTATGCGTGTGCATGTGCGTGTATGTGTGTGTGAATTAACCATAAACAGCAGGCTGGTTCTTCACCTTGAGTTTTAGGATTTGCTATCAGCTGGCCCTTTTCCTTCCCATGGTGGGAAGGTGGATTTGAAGTCGAGGAAGCCAACTTGCTATTCAGGAATACTGCTTTGGCCACTGATACAGATCGAATTTTTACTTAAAACAACAGAAACCCTCTAGAGACTTTTTTAATTCTAAAAATAATTTGTGTATTTCCTTCTGACTGAAACAATGCACGCTCACTTTAGAAAATTTAGAAAGGACAGACCAGCAAAAGAGAATAAAAAGAAAACTACCCTTTAATGAACCCACCACTCAGGAACAACCATTAATCTCCTTGGTTAGCCCTCTTCTGGAATTATCTGTCTCTGTAGATGAAAAAGAGTGACCATCCTATGTTTAGTCTTTGGTGGTCTGTTTTTTCACTTACTAGGCTATTTTTCCATATCATTAACTATTCTATAACAGATGTTAAATAATTATGTCATATTCTTTTGTATATCATAGTCAACTATTCATTCCAGGACAAATGTGGTTTTCACTCTTCTAGTTATTATAAATAATGCTGCAAGGAACATCTTCTGTAGGTAAAGCTTTAGGCATATTCATTGGCTCTTTCTTTGGGACAAACCCTTAAAATGGAATTGCTGGGTCAAAGGCTATGTACAGTTTCAAGATTTTTGACCCAGACTGCCATACAGCCAGAAAGACGGGACCAACTTATCCTTCCATCCATAGGGGCTCAGCACCCCAAAATGCAAGTCTTCTGGGCGTATTCATGTCTGTCCACATAATGTAAAACTGTGTGTCCCTTTTCCATAGCCTCATGGCAGTGTTTCCAGTTAATCTGTCCATTCCCAGATCTCTTCCTATCTTGTTGAAAAATAAAAAGTACAAACTGCCAAGTGCTCATAGAAGCCTCAGAGACCGGCACAGTCCAACTTTCTTTCCTGACCACTTTAAAGTGAAAAATAAGTTAATGCGGACATTTTTACCAGTTACCGTTTTAAAGTGAACTGGAACTAGAATTCGGGCTGTGTTCCAAAAGGGACCCCTTAACACCCCCGCATGTCCACCGAGGCCCGTTGGAAGGTGGCGGGTGAGAACAACTCACGACTTTCCAGGGAAGGCGCTTGCGTTAGGACGTGACTGTTGATGGCCTGCCCCTTTAAGCATCGTTTTCCTTCACTGACTCTGAATATACCTTTTGGGATTCAAAAAATAATTTTGCAACAGTGGATACAGACCTTCTTTATGTGTTATTGGTCTGGGAACAGCAACAGATTAAAAAAATATTACCAGGTCAAATAACAGCTGTTATTATTAAGTTCAGCTTTTATTATCAATTTGCCAGTAGAATCCGGCAGTAAAAAAAAAAAAGTGCATCTGAGCTTTTTCCTAATCAGTACTCTCATTTTGCTAATATTCTAACGACTGTCAATTTACTTCAGTGCTGCCATTTGCAGAATTTTCCAATTAGCAGCAAACCTGTTCCACCTTCTCCTGTAATTATGGAGGACTCAGTTCAGATCAGCTGCGGCCAGACAGCATATGATGTAGTTGCCAAAATCTGTGCAATGTTGTTTTTAACCTTTGCGTGTGCTGGCACAGTTTTAACATCTCTGTTTGTAGGCAGGAGGCTCCCACAGTAGTGGCATGTGTCAAAATATCAAAATTATTTTTAATAAACACACAACAAGGATGAAAACACAAATATGGGCATATTTGGTTTTCGGATCAATTTAACGTCTGTTCCAGATTCGGTAACATTTCCCCCATTCTACTCACGCCTCGTTTTTTTGGTTTTTTTTTTTTCAATCAAGAGTCTTTTGAAAAGGAATAATTAAGAGTTGCCGAACTGAGCCAATTTCTTCCTGTTTCCTTTGCTAGGAAAACAATAGTTATTAGAAAAATCTACATTTTGAAACACAGGGGACCTCAGCAATCCTGTAGGATGACTCTGTCGTTTTTAGAAATGAGGAAACTGAGGCTCAGGGTGGAGAAGAGACTTACCCAAGGTCATGCGGCTGGCTGGTTACGGGCAGAACAGGGTGTAGAGCCCAGGTTTTCTGCTTTCAATCCGAGGTTCCTCCCACTACAGCATCCATTTCCCCCCTTCTCTTGGTGGCCTCTCAGTGTGGCAGGAGACAGGAACGGAAAACCTCCCCAGGATCCGTCGTTTCACGGAATGCCTTGCTGGCAACATCAAAACCAATCAGATTCTCTGAAAGCTACCCAAACAGCTGACACTGCAGTAATAACAATAGTGTGGCAATAACTATTATTGCTACATGAAAAAAATATATTTAATAATAAGCTCATTGATTTTTAACAACATCTCTGTGTTGCCTAATTGATGGGAAGTTGTATGTTTGTGTAGCCGATGGGGGTTATGAATTAAATATGGCCGTCTTTCCTTGAGGGATGCATGTCAATGCAAGAAAGACGGAAGATCTACATTTCCCCCAAGCAAAACAGTGCCCTTGTAACAGAAGCAGGGAAGACTGAAATGCGTGCAAAAATAAAAACCATCCATCACTGTTTATTAAGTGCTGCTACTTGAAGGTAAAAGGGATATTGAACTGTTTTTAAATTGGAAGGAATGTAGCTGGACAAAATATTGATGGTAATATTAGCTGGGTGACAAATTTTATTCTTTTGTCCACATTCATCAAAAGAGCAATTTGGAGTGAATTATTCTCTCTCTGCCTGTGAACCGATTTTTCTTCCCTTTTTATTTTTTAAGCACACGTGTTTATTAAGGAACATGGTGTAGGAGGCATGACACCTTCTTGTGCAAGTTGTTCAAACCTTGTGTGTGAGTCACAGGTTCCACAACTTGCTTTAGACCAAGCCATGCATGGATCTCCAAGGTGCTTATGTAAAATTTAATATGGGCTTAAAAATTGAGGCAGACTGAGTCTGTTCCCACAATTTAAAAGAAAAGGGGTGGGTCAGATTTGATTTCATTTTTAGCTGTGGTTTTCAAGTGGAAGTTCTGAAGCATTTATTTATTTTTCCAAATTTATAGTGTGCCCCTTCAGTCCAATGTTCACTGGCTGCCGTTCAATGAAAACATCCAAGTTCCTATGGCAAAATGGGCCGAAGCAGGGGAATGAAAATTGAAAATGTCGGCTGACAATGGGGAGAATTTCAATAAAAATTTAGTTTGAAGTTTCCTTGCTTCAACTTTATTCAACGTCAAGTCGCTTTTGTTTTCATGAGGTCATGGAAGTACTGTGATGTTGCCCCAGAACCTCACCGGGCAGTCTAGTGTGCTCAGGGATGGATGGATGTTTGGATTTAAGACCCAATCCAGAGTTCAGGATTTGTAGATATTAATTACTGTATATAAAATAGATAAACAGCAAGGTCCTACTGTACAGCACAGGGAACTATGTTCAATACCTTTAATGGCTTATAATGAAGAAGAATATGAAAAGGAATATACGTGTATATGTATAACTGAATCACTATGCTGTACACCAGAAATGAACACGTTGTAAATCAACTGTACTTCAGTTGAAAAAAAAAGAGACCCAACTCCATCCCTGGTGTTTTCAAAAATGCCTACCACGTGTCCAGAGCTGGTCCAGTGGGGTTGGCATCCCTGTCTTTTCCACTTCAATTTTTGGAATCCAGGTTCTCCCAACTTCAAATGTGCATTTAGCCAAAACGACATTCTCATTTCTTCTGACGCATCTTGTCATCCCCACCAAAGAAATCTGTTGAAAAAAGAAAGTGGTTTGTTTGCAAGTAAATCTATGAACTTAAAACTCCCTTGGACTAGGCTGCTGTAAAGCCAAGTGAATTTTCTTGGATGTTGCTTGACTGACATAGCAATCCCACTTCTCAGCTAAATGAGACAAGTTTTCAGGAAGCTGGCCAGAGTTCATCAATCAGTCAATCAATCACCAAGATTTTAATGAGTCCCTGCTTGGTGCTGAACGATAGTAGCATCTATGGAGCAGTTTATGGTTCCCAGAACACTTTCACATAGATTGTCTTGTTTGCTTCTCATAGGCAGATGTCTGCGAGGCTCAGAGCAGTGCAGTGACTTCCCGAAAGTCACACAGCTAAGAAGTGATGACCTCTAAACCAGGTCTCCAGAACTTTCCCTCTGTACTGCTTGGGACAGTGCAAGTCAGCAGGTTGTACTATCAAGTAAGCAGTGTAGTCAAGAGGTATGAGCCTTGGGGATGTGAGCTGAATCAAACCAAAAGCCCACATGTGCCTGTCTCAGCATGTGTCACATCCAAACATTTCAGAAGTAATTGGAAGTAATTCTAGTTTTTTTCTAGGCATCCTTCAACGCACCGTAGAGTAAGTGAAGGGAATTCAGTTCATAAGCTTTTGCCTTATCATGTTGTTCTCCATTCTTCTCCGAGCATCCTCAGTTGCCAAGAAGCCTGTATCCCCACTTCTCATTCTCCTTCCTTCTGAATTCCCACCCTCTCCCTTTCTCCCTTTCTCCCTGTCTCTCTGCCTCTCTGAGTGTGTCTTGTAAACCTAAGCCCTTTCTAGATGGTTCCACATTACTCCTCTTCCCACTAGTTATCTGCATCTGGATAAGGCCTGGAACTTTTTGGTAGGGTACGGGGTGGATAAAGGAGTTGTGAAGGCTCCCCTGGGGCCAGGGTGACCTTCCTGATGAGTGTGCGCAGAGATGCTAAGGAGGGAGCGACACCGTGGACTGAAAGTTCAAGATTTATAAGGCAGATGGCCTTTGTGTGTGCCCTGAAAGATGGGTAGAACTTAGGTTTCAAAAGCAGAAAAGAAAAAAGTACCCAATAGACAGAAATGAAGGAATGAAGTGAGTAAGTATTAGAGATATTCTCTGCCTGAAAAACAGAATGATCACACAATCAATAGCCTTATTGAGTGTCTGCTCTCAGTAAACACTGAACTGAGTGCTTTAAGTCACCTGATAAAAATGCTTCAGAGGGAAAAAGAAGTTGCACTGATCACTTCTCCCCCGAACAGGAGTTGGTTGAGTGCGGTGCTTAAACAAGTCAGTTCTGGAGCCAGATGGCCTGGCCCCTGTCCCTCTGCACCATCCAGCAGCTGTGCAGCCCTGTGCAAGTGCCATGCCTCGTCATGACTCAGTTTCCCCATCTGCGTAAAATGAGGATATGAATGCTGCGTCTCTCAGAAGCATTCAATGCATTCATGCGTTACAATGAATACAATACAACGGATGCATTGTGAGCATTCAAATGAATTCATACAAGCCGATCGCCGGTCAACGTTTAGTAAGCATTAGACAGTGACGTTCTTTCCAGCGGAACTCTGTCTGCACAGATCTTTCTGAACTGATAGCAATACTGCTAACTCCCGCGTGCTGAGTGTCGACACGGAGACATCTCACTAAGCACTCCGTGTGGTAGGGGCTTCCCACGTAGAAGGTTCATGTTGGAAAGCAGGG